TCTGTAAGAAAAAAAAAAAAAAACAACAAACCAAACAACTTTTAATATTAACACTTCTGTTGACTAACAACCAAAGCACTTTGCATTTCCTTTAGAGCACATGAAGAGACATCATAATTTAGAGTTGTGGGGATATGGTAGAAGGCTGGTTATATATAGGAAAAAGGGTTGTCATGAAAAAATGTTAATGTGTTGTGATGTTTCCAGTTTCCTTGGGATTTGTGTTTTGCTGTGTCTGGTGTTCTGCCACTTGGAGTTTCTTTTAATGGCTGTGTTTCAGTTAAAGAACCATAAGGGTGCTGTATCGCATATGCTTTCTGGCTTTCCAGTATGAAGTTTTGGACATTTGAAACTTTATATTTGGAAAGGCTGGTGACCTTCTAGCTTAACTCATGTGAAAGATGGTCTTTGAACAGTGGCATTCAAGAAAAACATATTTTTCAACAAAGCAAAAATTCTGATTTCTTTGTTTTAACTGACCTGGAAATGATTTGTTTGGATTTCAATAAATTTGAAGTCAAATGTTATAAATAGTTCTATAAAATCCATATATCTATGGGGTGTGTGTACATACATACGCAGACAGAGGGAGAGAGAGAGTGTTGTTGGGACAAGAAAAAGTTGCGCTTATGTTGAAATCTAAGTAGATTTAGAAAGAATTTAGGGAAATACTTTTATATTGCAGAGAAGTAACATTGGGTCCTATGTGCTTGGACTTTGAACTGAAGAGAGGGAATGAAATAGACAAGCGTTTAAATATGTATATAAACAAAATTGTATGTGTATTAACTTAAGAATAAAAACTAGTTTAGTGCTTGGGCGTTGCTGTGCTTCCTGGACAACTGAGGTTTTATAAGGTTTTAAAGGATTATTGCCGGTCTGAGTCTAGAGAAAGTTTGCATAGGAGTTTGTTCCTTTCTGGCTTGGAGAGAAAAGGAAAAAGAAAATTAAAAGGCTTAGTAAATGAGGTGGAGATAGCAATTGTGCAGTTGCAGACATAAAAGTGCGAGAGTTATTACAAATGAACTGGTTCAGATCCTGCTTTGCCACGTGGATCCTATGGATCGAGGTTTTAATGTACTTTCTATGCACTTCTATGGATTACCTTGCCTCTATGGCCATGTGCTGCAAAGGAAATCGGTTTTCTCCTATAGTATGTTCAAGTGGAGCCTTAGTTTCATTATGTGTAGTAGTATTTATTTTTAGTCATATCTAATTGACATAAGATGTTAGATGGGAAATCTTTACCCTCAGGATGAGGTGCAAGCTTGTACAACTTTAAAACTTCGTTTTGGTTAAGAAAAACCATGTGCTAACAGCTTCAATGTTACATAATAACTTAAAATACTAAACCCAAGATGCATAGGCTGTTAACGCATGGGAGTGGCTAAAGTGTGTTTATGAATGCTGAACTTTAAAGTTCGGTTGTTTTTTCTAACAGTAAGCCCCATCACGGAAAGGTTTGCCTCTGTTATTAACTGCAGTCACATCAGTAGACCAAATGAAACTAATGAACTACTCATTTGCATAAGTGGAGCTGGTGCCAGAACACTAAAGTTGGGGTCCAGATCCTGTAGCTGGGTTGGTACAAGTTTCATGTTTGCTTTTTTGGAAAAGCTGTATTGAAATTCTGTACATGTGTGAAGGGCCATCCATGGAGATTATTGTTGCTGTTGGAATCCACAGTTTATGTGCCCAGCTGTGTGCATGTACTATCTTATCTTATTTTTCTGTTGATTTTAAAAACTGTCTGCATTTGATTTGTGATCCAGTTATTGTCTCACGTACCATAACACAGCTGTAATGCGCAAACCTTGCTTCTGTATGTTGTCACTCTGAGTCCTGCAGAGCAGGTAGGAAAACTTTCATCCCAGCTCTTGCGTCTTCAGCATTCTTCCCTGTACATTAAGTTGTCATATGAAATTGGTTGTTTAGGGAGAGCAAAGGAAAGCACTTTCTGTTCCAGTGTAGGGAAAATTGACTCCTGCTTTCCTTTGGTGACTGCTTCAGCAATAGCGCAGAATAACACTGCTCTTGTGCTTAATCATAATGATAGTCTAGGCTGCTCTTTTAAATGTGATGGCCATATGCCAACTTTTGGATGCTTTTATGCAAGACTGCAGTAAAAGATGAGGGTAAAGAGGGGAAAAAACTTATTTTAATAGGCCTGTCTAGCTAAAGAAATTGGTTACTGGGTCTGTCATCTCTGTTAACATGTGTGGCCCCTATGGACAACTACTGTCATATCAGGGATCATAACCTAAAGAGAATATGCATGTAACAGAAAACCTCTATAATATTAAATACAGTTCATAAACACGTTTGGGAGCTACAAAGTGCTCATATTGGACAGGCACAGTCAGCTGGGACACCTGGAAACAAAGGAAAAATAGTTATGTATTGTCCCAGTTCTAGGAAGAGGCTTCTTTATGCAGTTGATACAATGCCCATAGCTGATCAGCTTTAACCCAGGGTTGAGAAATAGCTGGCTCCAGCTGCTACTGATGGACCTGACTCTAAAGCCTATTTGCGTTTGTGTCCAGAGGCATATAAGGGTGTAGCTGATAGGCACTTGTAATGGCTATGAATAATTTTCTGTTGGTTTAGTTCCCCTAATGAATGCCAGGAAAGTAGAGGTCGGAATGTGTAGTGCCCAGAGTGGGCTGCCTTTTGGGTGGTAGGTAGCTATTGAATTTGCTTGGTTATAATATGAAACATGACTCTCGGAAGAGGTAGCCAGAGAGTTTAAGCAGCATCAGTACTAAATGTGAATGAAATGTTTGCTAGGGAATAGATTGAAATATATTAAGTGTAGGGGGAATCGTTGAAGCTAACTTGGTGGTGTACGTAACTGAGCTACACTGGGTGAATTCTAAATGGAGGGTATTTAATGAATTACTTTTTTATAGCAGCACTGGCATGAGTAGTTTTTGTTTACAACAGCATATTCCTGTTCTCACCCTTCCCTGTCCTAGCCAGTTTGTTGGTACAAACACTTGCATGGTTACGCAGTGATGCAGGTGAAAATTAAGTGCTTCTCTAGGGGATGGGAAGGTAAGAAGTGACTATCAGCTAGATCAGTTTCTCGAACTAATTCACCATGTGGACACAAATGTTTGTTTTGGCAAGCCTGAGGGAGTAATGCGGGCAGAAATGGATTGGCTCATGGCGGTGACTGCTTAAGTAATACAGCTGTTGTAAGAATATGCCTAACAACAGACGACTGTGGGTAAATGCTTCACATTTGTTTTATTTGTAACTAATTTTTTTTCTCTGTTATGTCTAAATAAAACTTTGTTTTGTTTTACTGTTGATCTTCAAAACTAGGTGAGAATGGTAAAGGATTCATCCTAATTCTATGACGTTGTTTATGGAGAGCTGTTTCTGTTACCAACTTGATTATTCATCTTTCTTGAATGGTACACAAGATCACTGCAGAGTCAGGATATTTACAGATCTGCTGAGAACAGAGAAGAGCTGGGCTGGCAACCTATAGCTCTGCTATGAAATGGGTGCATCCAAGAATGGAAGGCGGCTGTAATAGCATGGATTTTTTTTTTGCTTTGTGGATGTTTGGAAAATATGGAAATAGGATATCACACAGAATGCCAAGCTGGCTGTTAAAATGCCAAATAATTTGAATGGCAATTTCTGCAATGGTTGTTCTTGCTTGCAACTTTTAATGGGAAATCCCAAATAATAAAAGTATTTATAGATCAGCTAGCTGCAATCTTGAGAGATCTTCTTTGTGTGAAATCCTAAGACCAGGAGTGTCTGGAATAATTGCTGTTGGAACTGCTGTTGCCATCATCATAAAAAAAAAAAAGTATAGTGAAAGAAAACTTCCAGGTTGTGTAGCAGTATATGGTTTGCAGAAAGCTCAGATTCTTGCTTTGGTAGGTCTACAGTGGTGTGGTGAACAGCCTGAAGTACTGCACAATAAAAGTTGAAGTGCATTCAGAATTTTCCAGTCTGAAACTGTTCATTAATTAAAGCAGACAATTTCAGACCTGAAGGAAAAATAAAAGCACAGCCAAAACTTAGCTGGCAGTCATTTGATAGTTGAGTGTGCGGGAGCCTTTTTTCAATGCTCCCTAGTGTTTGCAAATATTGCAAATACCTGACCTTTTAGCTGAAAACTTTTTTTTTTAGTTTCAAGCCAAAAAGTGTGCTTTTTGCAGTCATTAAAAATATGCATGTTGAAAGAAAACTTCGAGTTGTGTGGCAGTATATGGCTTGCAGAAAGCTCATATTCTTGCTTTGGTAAGGCTACAGTGGTGTGAATTTGCTAGGAATTGTGTGTTGTCCCTTTTAGGTGATGTGTAGTGTAGCCCTGTTCTGGATGTAGTCTATACAGAGAGACAGTGGTTAGAAATGAACTGAACTTCTTGCTTCAAAAATAGAGAAAACTAAGGATATTTGAAAAACTATGGAATGTTTGCAAGGTAAGTATAAAGTTCTGTGGCTGTTGTTGGGTTCCAGTAAACCGTAGCTTCATAGTAACTCTTTCTTAAACTTTCTGGCTTATGGATTTGTTAGATAAGGACCACACTTCTGTGTAGAAAAGAGGGATAAGTCTGTTCTGGCAGACTTCATGGTTAGTAGCTTGTCTGTATGCTTAGTAAGGGGAACTACATCCATTTCATTTATGGAGTAGTGGATGTTAGAAGAGACTGGGTGGAAAATGTGAAGACTCACACATTAGATTCTATGTCAATGAATTTCTTTTTCAAAAAAGCGAAAATAATTTGGCTTGCAGCTCTGCTGTGTTTAAAAGACCATTTAAAAAGAAAAATTTTAATGTCAGAGTGCTTCTTGTAATGTATCCTGTTTCCAGCCTTCTTTTGGAACAGAAAGTATTAAAATGTTTAGTTAAACTTTTAATTATTTTCCTAGATAAACAGAAGACTCAAAGCCAAAATATTTGTATCCAAGTTTTCAGTTATATAAGCAATGCTAAAATAAACAATTGACCCTAAACCTGTTGTCCTAAGGGCTATATCCTGTTTACAGGTGTAAGCCTGTTTACTGGGACATAAGACATGGGTTTTCCATGCCACATCCTGCCTGATCTACCACTTCTCTCGATTTGTGGGTTACTAGGGGCCCATTAGTGTTTGGTGGTGGAAAACCAGTTATGTGAGCTCTGCATTTTGATTCATGTTAGGCTTCATCCTATTCATCAGACAGTGGTGGTCTTCCCCTCTGTCTTGAGTACCTTCTGGCCTCATGGATTTGGCATGACTAATGGTCTCCTTTAGTAGTTTCTATGTCTTTGTCCATTTTTTTTCCTGAATTCAGTTGAAACAGTGATGCATCTCTGAGCACAGAGAGGGTGGTTGTATTGGGTCTTGCCTGAGCCTCTATTACAGGTGGTGGCAATCCACTTGCCCTTGTTTGGGGGTAAGTCACCTCATCCTGAAGGATGGGTTCCTTTTGTTAAGAAAGCAGTTTAATGCTTTTAAGTAGAATAGTAATTTTCCTCTTTGTTTAAAAGTGTGGAAAATAGAAGACTTCTTGTGAAACCTTACAATAACAAATATTCACCAAGGACATGACCCCTTCCCCCTGCCCCTCCCAAGTGAACACAACTCTACTCCAGTTTGATTTTGGTGTCTCCATCACTCATAATTTGGCTGGCAGTCCAGTGCTTAAATTATTTCTCAAGTGCCAACCTATTATTTTTTAGAGGGAAGAATTCAAGACAGCTGGATGAAAAAATCAGCTCATTTCTGATTGGGTATTTTCTAATATTTAAAATATACCTGCCAAATCTCCTTGTCTGTAGAGGCTTTCTTTTGCAAAAGGGTAGGAATCTCCTTGGACTAGTAACTGGTTGAGTTTTATTTTAAGCTAATGATTGCTGGCTTTTAAGAAATGATCATCTACCTTTTTTTTAAATAAGAAAAATTAGATTTCTTTTACTGTATTCCATGAATATTCTAGGATATATTTTGCCAGTTTAAATGAAACAGAAATGAACTGGCAAGATTGATGCTTCAAAGGAATCTACAGTTCATCAGGAAAACTTTGTCAGTTAATTGTTTGTAAATGTGTCCCTTTCTTATGCATGTAAAAGGGTTTAAAGTGTTCTGTGAGCACTGAGGTCTTTTATCCCTTCAGTTGCTTATGGAATACTAATGAAAAGTAATGTATGTGCATCATGTGGAAAATATTTTGGCAGACAGATACCTGCAGTGCCTTAAATGCTTTGGCATTGTCTTTGTTTAATCAGCATAGTTGATCCCTACTTCCCCTAGAGGTTTATACTTTCAGAATAAGATCAAAGGTTTGTATGAAAATTTAAGCACAAGTAGAATTCACCTATTTTAGAGATGAATGCATAGATAAACAGAAGCTTAAAAATAAAACCTTAGGCACTCCAGTCTCTAATATAAAATGTCTTGTAGGAACAATAATTATGGTAGTTATATATATTTAAAAATCAGACATCTGAGATGTTAACAGAAGAATTTCCTGGAATTAAGTACCTATCTGATTAAGCTTTTGTGATTTGTTTTCATGATGCTTTCTAGAAGAGAAACTATGCTGTGTCTGCATGCTTTGCTAAATTAATAAGCTGACTTGGCATTGAAAATGTTCTTTGAGGAATGCCAAAAAACCCAAAACAAACCCTCTTAAGTTAAAGTAACAGTCAAAGTATCCATTACAATTTTGGGGGTATTCCGTCTGCCTTTTTGTGGCACTGATTCTTTTTATTACCATGTATGTCTGCTTAAAATGGTAGAGCAAGTTGGGTGGCTGTTCATTGAAGGCTGATTCCAGTAAATGTTTAGTGAAATAGAGAAAAAAGCCTAGGAGTATCAACAGTTAAATTAAAATTATGATGCAGATGTGGTATCTTATTGCTAAATAGAAAATACATAAATGAAGTGATTTCAGTAAAACTATGGGGAAACTAGAGTACAAAGCAATTACATTATAACAAGATTATGACCAAGGGTACTATTTATAAAAAAAAAATTATCAGCAATGTTTTCTGAACGTTATTCATGCTTCTTTATCAGAAGTGAATTTTGATGTGTTAATTTTTATCTCTACTGTATGGCAAAATAATGGTTATTTTGTTAAGAAAATATCACAATATTTATCAATTGTGTATCTTTGCAGCTGACACCATACTTTCTGTTTAGTAATCGGTTGCTGCTGAAATAGCAGGGACATGCTCTGCGTTTGAAGTTGGAGCATCACCAGTAAATGCATTTGGGTTCAATTTGATAACATTTCTTATATGTGTGTAAAATCTTAGCTGTAATGTTGCAGTGACAATGTATTTCTTTTTCCCTGTAGTTATGAACTTATGAGGGGCACAGAGTTATGCAATTTCTAAGAAAACTGTGGGCTTTAATTCTGTTTTCTGAAAATGTTGTTTGAGTGGACTGGCTTTGGTACCTCAGCCCAGTGCTTCTCATATGAGTATACAGCTAAAGTTTGAGTATCTGAGTTAATGAAATAGTAGATAGGCTAAAACATGGGGTGGAGAGTTTTCTTCAGGACAAACTTTACAATTTCTTATTAAAAATTATTCCTGCACCTAAGCAGTATATCATGCTTTCTGTTCATTACTGGTCGTCTTCTAGTTTTTATCAGGTAGAGTTTGTAAGTACCAGAAAGTTGTGCACTCTTTGAAGTAGCACCCTATTTTTTTAAAAAAACTGTCAGAACAATGTATTTACTTTCAACTGAAATGTTGAAAGTAAATATAGAAACTGAGGCATTTAGCTTCAACTGAATTGCTTCAGGATCTTTTAAAATGAAATAGGGATATTTGTTTTTTCGACCTTGGATATAATGAGATGAATAGGACTCCATATTCCTAAACTCTGCAACACTTAAGTGCCATTTGGAATAAGAGACTCTGACTACTGAGTTTGCAGTTTTCCAAGAACTGTGCCAGAATTGTGACTTTATAGAAATAAGCTTTTCTCAGTTATCTTCTCACTTTTTTATATTTCACAATGGAACTAAGAACAGACATTGCAGCCATGACTTATTTGAGATGTTCCAATTTTCTGTGGCCTTTCACTTGTCAGTTCAGTTAATGTGTATCAAAATTGTATTTGAAACAGTTACTTTTACTGTTATTACAATAAGCTTTTCCTTAATTTTGGGCAACGTGGGAAATAGGACCAAATGTCTTTTGCGTTCTGACTTTTCTGCATGTATGTGCATCTTGTCAGTGGAAGTAATGTGTTATCCATGCTACATGAGGCTGCTGCTCCTACTACAAACCAAGGTCACTATGTAGGCTAATCTTAAGGTATTGTATAGTTCCAGTGTTTCTTGGACAGGTTTGCAGGATCGTATTACATCAGGCACTAAATGTTGTAAGTTTCTGGAGGAACTTCCTTAATTTACATTTTGGAAGAATAGTAACCCTTCCCTCTCACTCTTGCAGTTGGTAGATAATAGTGTTAGTATCTGAAGTAGTGCATACCGGGGAGTAAAACTCTGCCTGAACTACAAAGAGCTCTCATGTCTGCTTGCCACAGCATGTTTTTGAAGTCTTCTGTGTAATAGCGACTGTTTTAAAAGCATATTTTGTTGAGGGAAAAAAAAACAGTAGATCATAAAATGAGAAGGGCAGGCTTGTTTCTAATGTGTGTGAGAACATTCAACCTTATGAATGTTGATGTTAGTCCAAGAAAAGATTGATTAATTTAAAATTTATTTTAGTTCTCCTCAAAAAGATATGGATAAGAAAACAGATGAAGAGCAGCCTTTGACTGCATGTAACCAGTATCCTAAAGAAGTGGTGAGGAAACGCCAGAATTCGGGTCGAGGTTCCAGGGGCAGTGATTCTTCCAGGACCTCCAGGAAAAGCTTCAGGCTGGACTACAGATTAGAAGAGGATGTGACTAAATCAAAGAGAGGGAAAGATGGGAAATTTGTCAACCCGTGGCCAACGTGGAAATCGCCAACCTTGCCAAGTATTTTGAAATGGTCCCTCATGGAAAAAAATAACAGCAATGTGCCATGCTCAAAGCAGGTAAATACATGAATGTTTTCTGTCCTTGATTTAGATTGCTTTTACCTCTCTTCTAATCAATAAAATAGGACAGTTTCTTACTAATGCTTATTAGGCATCTTTTGGAGACTTTTCTAAGTCTTTTTTTTTCCTTTCTGATTTTATTATCAATTTATTCTTTTCAAAAAGTGGGTTAATACTTTCTGCCTCTTTAATTTTTTTCCTTCTTTCTGTTAGTTTCACACCCTTTGATTTATCCAGCTCAGTTTATATTTACAAAGCCAGCAAAAATGGCCCCCTAGCTCAATCATAAATTACAGTTACACTCTTTCCTTTTTAATAGGTATTGCCTTTATGAAGCATACTACTAACATCATTTGTATTGCATGAAATAGCTGTGGCATATCTCATTGTAAAAATTTTGCCTTTTGTTTTTTTCTCCAGACTGCCATTTACTACATGCATTACACCTTTTTCATAAAAATGTAATAAATATTTACTGTCACTTACTTATGGAAGTGTTTGCAAATCTATGTTTTTCTGTTTCAGTCCACAAGGAGAAAAAATTGCATGTGTTAAAACTAACCTGAGCAAGTATTTGTACTGAAATACTAAAGGTACAGTGCCAGTTTACTGGGAAACACCATTATTTGTTCTTGGTGTATTGCTCCTGTCAGATATTGTATATAAAGGAGGAGGCAGGGGAAGCAGCCTCTGAGAGAGGCTTCTTTTCCATGAGGAGTAATGGATACTGGAAAGCCATGGGTTGTCTTTGTGGCCCCAAGAAGTGTTACGATTGCTATAGTTTTGACAGTTAGGATTACTTCTCAGTGTATTTTCTAATGTGTTGACTGCACTTTGGAAAAGCTGTGCTGAAGGGTGCAGAACCAGGGAAAGCATTTTTGAACAAATAGGTGTTAGTAATGCTTTTAAGCATACAAGAAGGCATGCATAAGCTATAAACCTCACAGTCAGTATTTAGCAAAGAGCTTACACTTTTCATTTTTATCTTATATGAATTACCTGTGAAGGAAGGAATTTGATCAGCTTTATGGACAGAAAAGCCATGTTACTTACTAACACATGATGGTCAGAGGTTTGGGGATTTCTCTAAGGATATGTGGCATGGAACATGTTTAAGGAAGAGATAATCTTGGTTGTAATTTTTCTATAATAATAATAATTTGACTTCAGAAAGAAGCACAGCAAACCTATGTCGGTCTTGGAATCCCTTCCAACAATTTACTGTTTTAAATTTGGTGTCCTGCTTCTAGACATTATCTGCACCTTGTAGTAGTAGCAGTGGTTGTGCCTCAGTGTGTACAGCTTTCTAGGCAGTGTGCTGCATTATACTTTGGCCACATTTGTGTAAAATTCATGCTTGGTGTTTTCAGTTGTCTTTGACCGCTGCCCTATTCCGTATGTGTACAATAGGCTTCATATCTTGCCAGGACCAGTCAGAAACCTGGTTGGTGACTGAAGTACTTGGAAGGCAGTGCTAAGGTGTACTTCACAGTATAGAATATACAGCACTCTGATGGTAGTGGAGAACTGCAGCACTCCCCTTTAATTTACAGATTATCCCTGCAATAAAGGATGATTACAAAGAAATCTACACTGTACCAGTTGTAAAGCTGTCTCTCTGACCCAGTTGAAATTCATTTTGGACTAATTTTATTGCTTTGCATATGAAATTTTTTAGTTAAGTGCCTGCAATTACTCAGGAGCTCAGTGAAGTAAATCAGAAATAGAAAAACCTAGATAGGGATCAATGAAATGCCCTTCTTGATTCCTCAGCCATTTTGATGCTTGTACTAGCTATGTTTGTTCCACACCTAAATCAACCTGTAAAGCACTTCTGACCTTGTTTAAAATTCAAACTAAGGGCTCCATACTTTATTTAGCACTGTCAGATAGAATGTCCTTTGAGCAGACTACTACTTCAATTTCCACATTGAGCGTGCCTAGTGATACCCTGCTATGGTGGGCAGGTTCAGTTTATCTGTACCAAGTGCTTTGCATATGTAAAAAAACCAACCCATATTATGCAGGATATGTACTTCACTGTGTAAAAGCTATATGTATTATAACTGTGCCTTCATAAGAAGTCTATATCATTATCCAGAATGCATAGACTTCTCATATTTTCGTTACAGGCTTTATTAATAACTCTTTTCAGTGTTGTTGGAGTATCTTTAGTTGTTGGATCAACAATTTAGATTGTTCTCATTTCTGTAAAATCCAGTGGTATTCCAGTATGCACTAAGCACCAAAAATCCTAAGCTAATTAGCTAGTCTTACCAAAGCCTGTCATGTGTTTCTTCTTGCCTTGCATTAGGAAGGAAAGAAGAACATGGGAGGGGGGAAGGGGAACAGCAGGAGGAATTTTTGTATTACTCCAGTGATGAAGATAAGACAGTATTAGGCACATTTTGCTTCTGTTGGTAGCTGATTTGACATTAATGTCATGTGTCAAAGATCTGTTGTAAATTCTTGTAGTATTAATGTTTCTAGTTAGCCTGACAGAGAACAAAATGTACTATAGCAGGATAAAAGTTCCATAGGATTATGTATTTCATTCATTATCTTGTTTTACCCTGTTGTATGAGTTTTAAGAATTTCATATGAAGTATACTGCCAGTAAAACTTGTGTTTCAATCTGGAATCTTATGAATTATGAGTCCTTATTGCTTTAAAAGGTAATTTTGGGGATTTTAGCATACTTTGGTAAAACACAAAAAAAAAACCCCAAACACCAAATCAACCCCAAACATAAAATCCATGTACTGAGAAGTAATTTCTTTAGCTATTTCCCCATGTGATTTACTATGATAGCTCAACAAAATGCCTGATTTCTGATCTCGCTCTCTGAGGAATCATTGATTTGGATCAGAGGCCTGTGTATCACAAACCTGCAGATATCATACAGAGTCTGTGCTTTCCAAGTTACACTGCCTTTGTGCTCCTTGTTTGCGTTGAATTTTTGTTCACAGAATTTTATTTAAATAGGTCAGGATACCAGTTGTTTGAACTGCGCTACTCTTTATTTATCCATCTTCCTGTCTGTGTGTCCTTTACAGGTGCCTTTTTAAGTGATTAGTTCTACCTTTAAATCAACTATTCAAAATACTTAATAGTGTCGATCCTAGTGACATCCCTGTAAAGCATCTAATAGTGCAGATGTGTTGTGGTTTTACCCTGGTAGGCAGGTAAGCCCCACACAGTGGCTCGCTTACTCCCCCACAGTGGGATGAGGGAGAGAATTTTTGAAGGGCCAAAGTGCGAAAACTTGGAGGTTGAGATAAAGACTGTTTAAGAGGTAAAGCAAAAGCTGCATGCACAAGCAGAGCAAAGTAAGAAATTAATTCACTCCTTCCCATAAGCAGGCAGGTGTTCAGCCATTTCCAGGAAAGCAGGGCTCCATCATGTGTAATGGTTACTTGGAAAGACAGACACCACAACTCCAAACATCCCCCTTCTTCCTCTAGCTGTTATACTGCTCAGCACAATGTCACGTGGCATGGGATATCCCTTTGGCGAGCTGTGGTCAGTTGTCCTGGCTGAGTCCTCTCCCAACTTCTCATGTACTTACAGCCTACTGGCTTTGATGCTGTGTAAGCACTGTTCAGCAATAGCTAAAACATCAGTCTGTTATCAACACTGTTTTGAGCACAAATCCAAAACATAGCACCTTAGGAGCTATTGGGAAGAAAATTAACTCTATCCCAGCCAAAACTAGTACAACATGTTTGAGTCCCAGTTAAGAACTCACTGTTCACATCTGCCAATTAGCCAGTTCTTCATCCATATAGTATTGTTTATTAATACTTCATGATGCTAATTTTAGAAACTAGTTTTTGTCAAATGTCAGCAAAAATAAAGTGGATTCATTTAGAGTTCTTAGAATAATTTGTTGTCTACCTCTAAACAGCTACTTAAAAAGAACATTTTCCATAAAATACGTACTTACTGACCTAAATTGCATTATGACAATTATTACATTCCATATCTGAGTCTAATTTCTTTGATATAATCTGATTTGTTGATTTAACCACATGTAATTTGGTGGGTTGTCCTAACTTCCATTTTTGAGTAAATTATGTTAGTTTTGTGGATCTTCCACTTTTTTTTAATTGAAGTGTCACAATCTATGGTTCAGAATTCTGCTGCCAGAATGAAATAGGGGTAAAGAAAGTTATGCTTCTTTCTTGGAGAAGCAGTAGTTTGTCTCAGTCTACTACTCATACTTTGTTTATTTTTGTATGCATTAAGTCATTGTATTGTACAAACCTTACATTCAGCTTTATAGAAGGTTATCTATTTCTTGTTCCTGAAGACAGTAGTGAAACTTTTTCAATAGACATGTCTTGTCCATTAGCGCTCAGAAAAAGCAATTTCTTGAATGTTATATTACTCACAGTAGAATTGCATGGGGGTGGAGGTGTATGTGTTTTGTTTTTTCCCAATGTATGCCCTCCAAATCAATAAAATATGGCGGAGAGAGTAACTTCCCTGAAGCTGTCAGGACTGTTTCAGCAAGGGAAATCCTAGAGTCCTAAACTGTCACAGCATCAGCTGGACATTTAAGGGAGTGGGAGGTCAGCTCTTTATAAGCTTGCTCATAGCACTAATCTACTATCCTAGACTTAGAGAATGAGAGCAACAACCATTGCAGGTAGAACTTGACTAGGAACCAGAAGTGCTGGGACATCTGTGATTACTGGGGGAGAAGAGTGTCAGGAGTCTGTAGAAGCTGCCTAACCGAGGAAAATTCTTCTAAAGTGATGCGAGTTCAGACCAGAACAGTTTGGGAGGAGACCCTTAGACATGCTGCATCAGAGAGGGAGATGGTCAGGAACTCTGAGAAAACTTTTTGGTTGGTTTTTTTTTTTAATAGGAAAACTCTTATTTATTTCATATAAGACTTCTGCATAAGCATCTCAGCCAAACTGCAGTGAAGAATGTAACTCCGGTTCAAAATGAGAGAATGACTGGTGGTTGGATGATGAGTTTCAGTAGATAATATACAGCCATGGCCTCCTTTGTGCCAACTTGAGGCTACACACAGAGTCAAGTTTGGAAGCTGACTGAGCTGAAAGTTGTCTGTTTTCCTCCTCTGGATTAATGTGCAGCTGGATCAGTTCTCTGACCCATCAGGCTTGAGTAGGGACTGCATAAGTATTGATGCTGGAACAAGAGGGGAGATGGGGGAAGGCTTCCATAACTTTTTTACACAGGGAGTATGGATTTAGATTGATTTGAAGTCATTCGTGGGACTGCATCCTGAACAGGGATGATCAGTATAGTGACTTATTCAGTAATAATTAAACTTTAATTACCTTGAAGGCTTCAATAAAGCATCATGAGAAGCATAACTAAGTGCCCTAAGGTCCATCTTAAAAATGAGTTTGTGTTTTACGAATGTTCATTGAATTATTGGCAGGATAGAATTGTAAAAGCTAATATTAACCAAGTGAGGTTAACCTCCGTGTGCTGCTCCTATATGTAATGGGGAGAGAAAGAGGGTCTGCTAAAGGCTAATAGATCAGCTTTTGTGGAGTGCTGTTAGGAACGTGGCATTCTCTTTCATCTGTGGGTTTGTGACTTATTTGTGCTAGGACTTAGGGGATGCATCATTTAGTTGCACAAGCTAAACTTGAGTATTTGTTACAGTAACTCTGTGTGTGTGTGTGTATATATAGATATTCTTTTCCAGGTTGGGGAAGGTCAATTGATTACAAAGCCTTTCCCAGGATGCTGTTAGTGTCTTGCAGTGCTTTCGCTGCAGTGCTTTCAGACTCTCTCTATTAGTAGGTCTCCTGGCCTGATGGGATACTCTTGAGCTCTCTCTTCTCTCTCTTGACAGAGAAGTGAAAATGTTACAAAAACTTAAGATGAAATTAGGAGGAAGTAGCTGAGAAAATGGTCATTAAAAAGGCATCTGTTTTGTGTTGTAGTTCTCTGCCTAAAAATATAAACAAAGCGCAAGTCTTGACTGTATTGATTTGTGCTTCGTATGTAGTTTTTGTTCCACAGCCAAGTACATTCTGAAATCTCTCATGCATATTGTGTTCTTTTTTGCTAGGAACTCGATAAAGAGCTTCCAGTGTTAAAACCTTATTTTGTTCAAAAGCCGGAACTTGCTGGGAAGACAGGAACTGGTATGCGAGTCACGTGGTTGGGACATGCCTCAGTTATGGTGGAAATGGATGAACTTATATTTCTTACTGACCCAATCTTCAGCCAGCGAGCTTCCCCTACTCAGCTGGTGGGTCCCAAGCGCTTCCGAGGACCTCCGTGCACAGTAGAGCAGCTCCCCAAAATAGATGCAGTCATGATCAGCCACACCCATTATGATCATTTGGACTACAACACTGTAACGAGTTTAAATGAACGCTTTGGGAGTGAGCTGCGCTGGTTTGTGCCTCTGGGGCTCTTGGACTGGATGCAGAGATGTGGTTGTGAGAATGTGATTGAACTGGATTGGTGGGAAGAGAACTGCGTCCCTGGTCATGATGCGGTAACTTTTGTCTTCACTCCTTCTCAACATTGGTGCAAAAGGACTGCGACAGATGACAACAAGGTTCTTTGGGGCAGCTGGTCTGTCTTGGGACCTTGGAATAGGTTTTTCTTTTCAGGAGATACTGGATATTGTGTTGCTTTTGAGCAGATAGGTAAAAGGTTTGGACCTTTTGATCTTGCAGCCATCCCCATTGGAGCTTATGAGCCAAGGTATGAAAAGCAAAGTTTGATCAAAATACATAAATGAAATTATATACTGATGACAAATACACCCGGAAGTGAAAACTGTAGCCATACTTTATTAAGAATATACAATAGAATATAGAGGCAAAAGAAGGAGATTGCTGAGGCAAAAGGACATCACTGAATGGAAGAGAAAAAAAAAAAAAAGCAGGCAATTGGAAGATGGAGCTGAAATGTCTAGGATGCTTGTGTCTATGTGTGATGTTCTTGGAGTTTTATTTCTTCAGTCTTAAGCACAGCAAGGATGAATCAGCTGACTTTCTTCCATGAAAAATGTTGAGTAAAAATCTAGAATTACTTTGTGGCTTTTTTTCTGAAATAGCATCATTTAATCCAACCCATTTAGGTGCATGCAATTTGCTACATTTTTCTCTTGCTTCAGTCTTCACGCTGTTTTTGCAACTTACCTGGAGATAATGATGACTCCTTTATAGTGTGTGAAATATCTGTTTGTTTAGGCATCTGTATCCTACTTATGATGGGGTATCTAAACTTCTAGATAATAATGCTCATATAATGCTGGAAGCAAAGCATGTATAGGCTGGGAAAGGAAGATAGGAATCTGAATAACATTGTAAAAATCCGGTATCTTTCAAAAATTGCTAGATTCTCTCTTCTGCTTTAACACCATTCCCTTAGGCTATCTTCTGAAGCACACACTTCTTGGTGTGTGTTGCTAACCTAAAATTTTTTTGGGGATGGATTTAAATCTATGGCCTTAATGCCTCAAGGCACCAGTAATATGTCCTTATACTATTAAAAATATAGATAAGAAAAAATCTGTTTGAAAGGGGGAGTAAAATACATGAACTGTTGTTTCATGGGTATGTTGATATATGGCTTGTTGAGTGTTCTGTATGTTTTTCAGATGTACATGCTCCATGATTTTTTTGATTAGGTAGGCGTATTTTTTTTTTTTTAGATTCTTTGCAACTTATCCAATGAAAGTAAAGAAGAAATCTTGCACTGAATTAGGTGATACAAAAGAATTTGCTTTGTGTTTTGGTAGGTGGTTTATGAAATACCAGCATGTGGATCCTGAAGAAGCAGTAAGAATCCATATTGATGTTCAAGCAAAGAAGTCTGTAGCAATTCATTGGGGGACCTTTGCTTTAGCAAATGAGGTAAATTTCAACACTATGCATGAGTTCAGATTTCCTGAGTACATAGTCATTAATGAAGCTTTGCTCATGCAGTTTAACCTACCTATCTGTAAATGTAAACTTAAAATGTAAACTTTGTGTGAGTGAAAAGTTGTTACTATATGTATTGCAGTTCAAAACAATGCTTAGGTTTTCATAACAATTCTGTAAAGACTAAGGTGAATTTGAAAGTTATTGAAACAAATGTGGAGGATTTCTGATCTCTGAAAGCTGAGGAACAGGAAAGGTGGGGACATGTATGCAATAATAAAAGTAAACTCAGCAGTGCATCACTTGGAGACAGTGAGAATTGCATGCCTGTAGGTCAATACAGTATTTATTAATCATGTCTGTCTAGTAAGTAAATTGAATAGTATTTTTAATAGTTGATTCATAGTTAAATACCAGCAAGAATATGAAAAACTGAGTTATTCTGAGTTGCTGATTTTTTTTTTTGTAAACACCACCACCACCACCCTAACCCCTGCCCCCAAGTCTGTACTTCTAATAAGGAGGTTACTACACAGGTACCTTCACAGTGACTAAAAACGCATTGAAAGGGAAGTACCTACATCTACTTTGATACACCCTGTCTGGTAGCTGTTTTTCAGCTTTGTCGTTGCATCAGTTGCACCACTTTATTTTATAAATCAGTCCCAATGCTGTTATCTGCATTCACCTGTTAATGTCATGTTTTCTTTAACTTGGATATAACATTTTCTATCCACGATGCTTTCAATAACCTGTGTCACTAGTGCCCACGGTACAAATGCTACTGTGCATTTAGAAGCACAAAAAAAGGATGATTTCTCCCTGATGATGCCTTTTCTGAAATGTAACAAATATAATGAAATAACTTCGGGGGACCTCATTGAAAGGGCAGTAGTTTTTTCAACAGTAGAGCTGACAACTTGGTTTTACCAAACGAGAGAGCACGCCATCTGCTGACCTGCGAGCACTTCCTCCTCTCGATGTGTTTCTGCTTCGAAGGGGTCTAGTTCAATACGTTGAACACGACTGAATTTTGGATGATAGATTGTGCCTTGCTGGTTACTCTACAACTGTAAATCAGCATCCTTATCGTTTAAAAACTGAACACAAAACTAAACATTTTAATTTGACAAATATCCTCCCTCCCCCTTTTTTAGGTAATGTTTAAAATGTAAGCCGTTTCTTGTCCAGAGCAGTGATATCCTCCCCCCCCGCCCAATGCTGCAATGGTATCTTTTTCCCTCATATTATTCTTATTTTTCCAGTATTACTTGGATCCTCCAGTTAAACTGAACGAAGCTCTTGAAAGATATGGCTTGAAACAAGAAGACTTTTTTGTCTTAAACCATGGAGAATCACGGGACTTGAGTACCAATGATGGGTTTGAATAATGAAACAGTAGCAGTTCCTTGTAAGCCCTGTTTGATTTGAACTAGTAATTAATGTTACAAATATGAATATGATGCACTTACAAAGTAGATTTATTGGAGTGAATTGGATTTTTAGATGCCAGGTTTGTCAGTTTCAGAACTAAAACTTTCACAATAAATTTTACTAGTTCTATTGTTTATAAATTTTGAGGGGTGATCTAAAAACTGGTTAATATATAAGGTATTGTCTGGGAATAACTTGCAGTTTCAACTCTTGTGTACGCCACTGATAAATTACTGTTTTTTTTAAAAAAATCTTCATCTTACCTGCAGCAGCAATAATAACCTCAGCACAGGACATATTCTTAGAATTAATGGCTGACTAATTCAAGTCATTGTTAGAATGTCATCTCCCACTTGTTAGTCATTAATCTTCAGGTTATGCCCTCTACTTTGATAGATTCACTGTATGTTTTGTGGGGTGGAGTCTTCCAATACAGCTGTGTTGTTAAAGCACAAGCACAGTAAAATAACTATTTTACTGAGTGCTTCTACATTTTCCTATATTAATGAACCACAAAAGCTGAATTTTACAATGATCTAAAGAAATGTGCCTTCTAAAGAGAGAGATAATTTAATATTGCATCATTGATGTGTAAAACTTACTGCTGGCCAGAGTATCTGCACACTTCCATTGTTTGGTCAATGTTTTTAAGTTAGGTCTGAATGTGTCTAAAAACTTTCTCGTCAAATGCAGTACATGAAATGGAAGAATCCCTTAATGGTGCTTGCCTTTGCATTGACTTAGCCTATTAGTAACTACTGTTTGGTTTTTTGTTTTTGTTTTTTTTTTTTAAATGAAAAGTCTTAAGCAAGGGCTGTGGTATTTTTTTCTTATAGCTTCCTATAATTTTTAAGTTGAATGAGCGATTACAACATTATTCAGTATTGTAAAACTCAGCTAAATGTATCTGTATCAAATTGCCATGCTAATTTACAGAATTAAAGCCTATTGTTGCCAATAAAAAGGGTTGTTATTCTCCATAATTCATTGGCAAATCATTTTTTTGTTCATGATTTGCTTTGGTCTATGGGATATGTGTATTTTTTAGCTCTTGCTGTGCATTACATTTTATGTTCATACTCCATGAAGATAAATTAAAAAAAAAGACACATTAATTCCATGCAATTTAAAGACATGAACTTCTGGCAAGTAATTAAAACCTGTTAATGAGATTTCATGCTAGGAGCAAACTGAAGTAATATTTTAATTGTTGACAGTTATCTTTTAAAAATTTTATATCAGGAAGTCCTAGAAGTCTTGTGCTGTTCTTTGTTGGTATTAAGATGTACAAGGAGGCAAAGAGCAGTTAGTCTAAGTTCATGCTGAGGAAGGGTTCTGGAACAGAGGATTACACTTACATGTAAGAAAAAGTAGTGTATATTCCTTTGGTGGGAGTCATATTTGACAAATATCAAGATTTCTTCATTTGGAAGGGTAATTCTAGTACGGTCTAGATGTATTCACCAGAATTTGTTCAAAACTGGTTTAAAATTACTGTCAGTCATTCAGTGTTGATTTTGTGAGGGTATTTCAGATGAAGTCTCTATTGGGCCTTGTATTTACACAATAGCTTCAATAACAATTTGGATAATATAATGCATATGACATGCTCATAATATTGTGGAGGACACCAAGCTGCAGGATGTTTTGAGTACTCTGAAGGACATGGTTAAAACTGAAGTTGTTTTTTGGGTGGGTTTTTTCCAGTTTTCAAAATCATCAGTAGACTATGCTGCAGAATTCTGTACTTCAGAAAGAAAGAATGAAACTAAAATACATAATACCTAGATAAGCAGCCACATAGCAGAGAAGTACTGACTTACAAGGATCAGACACTAAATGTCAGTAATGGCATACATTTTGTTTTGGATCTATTAATTCACAGCATTTGTATGTAGAACAGTGACTGTTATGCTTTGCTTGGTGCTGATAAGATTCCATCTAGGGTGTGGGGTGGGGGATAAAAAAAATTAGACACACCTGCCCGAAGACACTTTGGAGAGTCTTGCCTGATTTCAAAACATCTCAACAGCATTGTTCTATGAAGAAAGCATTTAAAAATAGACCAGAAAAAGAAGACTGAGACAACACTGTAACAAGTTTTCATGTATTTTTAGAAAAGGGTGACTGGTTTCTGTCAGCTATCAAAGCAACGGATAAGAGATCAATTTTAATTATTGAAAAGATAATATTTGAAAAACTTACTTTTAGGCTGCAGAACATGGAGAGGGATATCTAGACATCTTTGTTGTTCAGCTTAGAAAACACACATGTCAGAAATACTTAGAACAGACTAGTCTAAGTTCTTGTCAGAAGAGAAAGGTGGGATCTGTAAATTCTTAGGGTCTGACCTAGCCTTTATTTTTCTTTGTTTAATACAGAAGCAGAAAAAAATTAAATCATGAAAAGTGGCAAAACATTAAGTGATTGTAATGTAACTTGCTTATTACAAAACAGTGGTTTTAGAGCAGTGGGAAGGAGAAAGGGAAGTTCACTGTCAATGCGGCAATTGTCGGGGTTCTGACTGGGAATCATGCCAACTTCTATTTCTGCCTTAACTGTATTCCTGATGAGTTAAAACTACCTCTGTAGATAAATTAGATATATACAGATTTACCCCTGTATTGCTCAGGGCATAGAGATGTTTTATTTTCGAGGTCATGTTTTTCTTGCAGTTTTAGCTATTTGCAAAGTTGCCTACTGAAAATAAATATCTATTAAATTACAGAAAAAGAAGAGAGTAATATTTTATTAAGAGCAGAGTGGGTATATTAACTTAGAAAGATGAAGCATATGGTAACAGTTGAGGTAATACAGCTCTTAAAAATGGTACAAGGTGGAAAACTTCTTTTCTAGCCTTTATGCCTGACACCTTTTTTCCTTTATGATGCAGTGTTCAGGAAGTTCTTGTAGTCTCATCTTAGTATGAAGTGTTTTCTGGTATGTTTTATGTTCATCAGTGAAACTTCTGGATTTTTTACAGTGATGTTTATATGTATTCCACTTCATTTTTAATTAACTCTGGATTGCTGACTAAAACTTTATGGGGGCTAACTCAACAGAAGCATTTATTCCAATGATGTTCCAGTTGCAGAGAAAAAGAGTAAAGCTCTCAAAGGAAAGCAGGCTCAAGGGCTGCTGCAGAGCAGGAAGCTTTTGTAAAAATGTAGACTTTTTTTTTTATAAAGATGAGAATGTTGAATTGCAGTTGCAGATGATATTTGACTCAAAATACTTTGAAAAATATGTATGCTTTCCTTAAAGTGGCAATTTTAAAGAAAGATAAAATCCTTTCCATTTTTTTCAGTGTAGAAACCTTGCACAGTTGTTAACTACACTGCAGTTTGGCTAAATGGAATGGATATACTAAGCATATGAGAATGTAGTTTTAGAGTATGTTCCATGCAGGTAAGGTGAAAAAACATAGGCTGAGTAACTTTAACATGCAGTTTTCATTGAAAATACTAATTTTGTAGTAAGCCAATGATAGTTTGGTATTGTTTTTATTTAGTATTTTCTAAGATTTGCAGCACCCATTTAGTAGATATCAGATTAATAAAATGTAAATGTCTGATCTCTAATTGCTAAATCTTTAACATGCCATTTTATAGAGGTATTTATTCAACAGCTGTAAATACTTAAGGCAACAAAAATTTTGACATTGAGAATAATATTTTGATTCACTTTAGTCATCCATTTAAAATGTTCACTGTACGTATGAAAGTTTTCAAGTTTTAAACTATTCCTCCCCCTTTGTGTACATGTACCAGCTGTACGCTGGTTTCTCAGTACTAATTAAGCTATTGCTTTTATCTTTCTTGTGTTAAAAAAAAAAACCACACAAAAAACCTGTCATGCTCTATATTAAAGACATTGCGTTCTCTTTTGTAGTAACTGATCTGTGCCTAGTAATATGGTAGTATTCAGTATTTTTTATGGTTGTTTTACTGTTTGCTTGTTGGGAGTTTTGTAGCATATAATTCCTAAGATTATATATTTTCATCAGGTTGGTCTGTTTTTTTTAAAAATCACTACTGTGTTAATATTCTCACAACTTGCTCTTTCACTTCTTTATCGGGGTGATGCAACAAAGATGCCAGTTTCTGAGCAAATGGGGTAGAGTCCCTGCAGAGCGTGGAGAAAATTGAATGTTCACTGTATTGGTCCTGAATCATGGTGCCATCTTCATTGTTCATATTCTTTTTCAAGTTTGCTGCAAACACCAGGGCTCTGAGCAGAATATCTCGGTTTATACAGTTGTCAAAAAGCAACAGCAGTGATGGCACCTAGGACATTCAAGAAATAATCCATACTTAATCACCAGCAGTAAAAGTACATGTAACTAAATCTAACTTAAAAAAAAAAAAAAGAAAAAAATCTGCACCTAAACCATCTAAAACAGAAACCCTATGAAATACCAGAACTCCACATGTTGTGAAAGCATGCCAGAAACTTGCACTGCATGCACATTTCCTCTTTAGAAAAGACTGGCTTGTGCATCACAGGCTAATAAATGCTTTGTACTTTAAATCTCCAAAATGTGGCTGTCTGGAAAATTCCCGTTTGGAAGAGAGGGTCTGCTTTCCTTCTCAATAATGTTGCTTTGCCCTCTGCAGTCGTCTGAATGTTTTTATGTTAGCACATCTAATAAATGAGAAAAGGATACACTTTTAACAGAGAACTGAATGTTTAGTTAACTTAATCTTGTTTTAATAATGAAAAGCTGGTAGTAGCTACTCTAGATTTGCTCATGGCAGATAGCTCAAAAATAAAAGTCACTGCATCTTTTAAGAAACTTACTTTGGGGAGGGGGAGGAGGATGCAGCATCGTTCCAGTCCCTGACTCTCTGTTTTGGTGTGAGAAAAGGATATAGCTGAAATAAACTTGTATGCCAAGGCCAGCAATAGCAAATGTCAGATAGACTTCTCCATGAAGATGTAAGTAAATGCACAGGGAAAGTTCACTTACAGTGCTTAGAGACAACAGTTTTATGGCTGCATTTGAGGAAAGATGTGGGGATTTCAGTGGAATGTGGTCATCTTGGGTACAGTATGTTAGCTTATAGAAACAGCTGTTGAGAAGGATGATTTACAGTACTGGTTGTGTTTGATGTTTGTACCTGGTCTTCAATCTATATACTGACTGCATGTCTAGAAATGAGGTTTTGGGGTTGTTTTTGAAACTCATCAGGGTACCTTTATTACATACAAAAGTTCACAGTACTACCCCTTTGGTGGAAAGGGAAGGTGAGAACAGGCTTCTGCAAGTTGTTGCTGATTATTTGGAATGGTACATAGAAGTATGGCCAACTGTCTTCAAGCGCATAGACCCTGTGACTCTCCCTCTGCAAGTACAGTATCTGTATTACACTACACTCTGGAAGAAAGCTAGCCTGTGAAAGAATGTACACTTCTAGCTACTACTAATAACCAGGTACTGCCTAGAACTTTACTCTGGAGTTGCATATATACTTCTAATATGGTAAAATTGTTCTAATGCCTGCACATATCTACACATATACATGTGTATAAATGCTAAAAATATAATGAAACAGCAAGAACCTTACTTTTGCTCTGAGAAGATGTCTTGTCATGGCTGGGTTTGCAGATAAGTTCACAAGTACTTTCAAAACTTGAATCTGAAGTGAGGAACATATAAGTTCATTGCAAACAGTAAGTACAGCAATAATGGGTACCAATAATGTCAGTGTTTACTTGGAGAGGAAAAGGTAAAATGGGTGAAATAACCTCTTGAGAGTTGTGCACTTTAGTCTTTGGTATAGGAAAAAACAGACCTTATGGAGTCACTAGCACGTATGTACTAACTACTGACGTTTTAGAAGCAAATTCAGTTTAACTTAAACATCAAAGTAAGGCAAGATCTATCAACAACTCACAGTAGGCAAAATACGGAGTATTTTTAAAATAGACAGAGGATGGTTAAGCACTGTATTTAAAATGTGATCAGAAGCATATACAAATACACTTTTGTACTTTCCTGGACCTTGTGACTCTAATCTTTTAACTAAACACTAGGAAAAGGCCAAGTGTTACTTACAGTACGTCAGTGAAATACGTCTGCTAAGTTTAATGGAAATTTGTGTTTTGGAAAACTGGTATGATCTGATAGAGCAACTGAGTACATTGATATCGATGGTACTGTGACATCTTGCATAAATCCTGAATTTGGTCCCCAACTGAAGCTTTTATTTTCTTTCAATATTATAATAATTCAAAAATAAGCACAGTTTCCTATTGCAGTCACTAGGGTTGCAAGAGATGCAATAAGCGTAAGGGAACAGAAGTCCATAACTTAGGTTATCACTGCTTGGCATGTTTCCCTAGAAAGATTCGTGCATCAGTGAAGCCTTTCACATGCAGATTCTCCTTGCTCTGTGATGCAGTAGCAATGTTTAGCAAGCAGAAGAGAATTCTGGAGTTGCTATAGCAAAGGCATAGGACAATAGCAGTGCACACAGCAGTGCTTTAGTAGAGCTCTAGCGCAATGGTTCCATTATCAAGATTCCCTTTCTCCCCTCTTTCTGAATTTACATTGAGAAAGTAATATAGATCCATATTTTATGCACTATCTGCTATTATTAATGAATATTAGACTGTGCTTAGAAAATCAAAACCATTTTACAAAAACAGTAAAAAGGAGACAAAGCGGCTTCATAAATGGTTTGTAACAATACACTACCAGGTACCTGTGTCCTTTCAGTTCCTTCTGAAAGCAAATGAAGCAAGCATGGAATTGAGTTTATCATCTTATTGTGGTAGTCACTGGTAACAGACATATTTGTCAACAATCTGAGTCCAGCTAGCTGCAGATCAGAGTTCAGGGGAGCTGACTCAACGTTCCTACAAACTTGCACAATATACACCTGGGGAAAAAGGGAAGCAGAAAAAAAGAAAAGGCATTTTTTGACACAAGCAGATTTTCTATTCATGAATAGGATCAGTGGTCTAGCTACAGTAGTGTAAATACCTCTTGAACACTGCTGGCTGAATACATAACCTGATCAAGGTTCTTGGAAACAAGTACTTTTTTGTTTTGAATATATTCAAACATTCTATTGGCATGATAGAAGCAGATGTTACAGCGTTATGCTCACTAACCTTCCTGAAGCACAAATTGCTCTGAAAACCCAAATTCCTTTGACTCCATCTCAGAAGTGGCACAGCTGCTTTAAGGAGTTATTTAAAAAATCACTTACAGCAACTAACATCATCTTAAATGTTAAAAACAAGTTAAGGGCAAGTCTTGGAATAAAATCCTTTCTTCTAACTGTGTGGCCCATTCACTGGAGCACTCCTCAGGAACAGTGATGACAACTGACATTAACAACTATTATTTACCAAATTTTCTTCTGGATGACAGTATACAGCAAATCTTGGAGTCTTAACTAAGAAAAAAATTACTTTGCCTTTACCAAAGGAGTTGTTTTCTACCTATATGCCTATATAAATATCTGCTGTTGGCAAGCACTACTTTAAAAAAAGTTGCTCAGCACTAGAGATGCTGCAAACTACAACATACAGTCAAACTGCCTTTTTCTCAAGCTGAAGAAAAGACTAGTAAAAATCTTCAAATCTGCATCAGCTCACTGCTTGGACACTTCTTGATCTATTGATTAATCTGATAATGTCAAAGTGGATGCTTTTTTGATGGTTGGTCCTTTCACATCCATAGCATCTACTATATTTACCAGCGGGACTTATCATTTTTACATATTATTCTTTTAAAATGGAAGTATCACCCTGAAAAATTGGTCTTATACAAACGCAGGGGATCAATTACTGTTTTATTCTCCCTTGCCTAAGGAGTAATGCTAAGTTCACTCTGCAATCCATCCTATGAAACAACCACTGCTGATGTTCTAGGCATGTTTAGAACTAATCTTGCCTCACATAATTTTAGTACAAACTTAGCAGCACAATCTCTGTTTAACAGCATTTGGTGAAAGCTGAACACAAACTGCCTAGTTTCCTAACTGTCTTAAAAAAAAGTAAGTGCCAGTGATGCAATGCATTTTTAAGTTATCCTTTTGGCCTTAGGACGCACAGATCATCCAGATCTGCTGACTCGTATGGCTAACATCAAAACATTTTGGCATCCTGGCTTATATTTAACAAATATGCTGAAAGCCCTATACTATCTCCTGTGTCTCAATTACTTTGATTTTTCCCTTTAAGAAACTTACCTGTATCTCTTCCTGATTTTTAATATTCATACTCAAATTATTAAGTGCATTTAGTGCTTTTTCTTTAACTTTGGGAACGCAATCCGAGAGCATCCCTCCAATAACAGAAAGGCCACCCAAATTTCGGATTATGTCCTGAAATATAAAACAGATATTTAATAAGATTTTTAAAAATTTAAATTAAATGCTGAAGGCTTTCCTCAAAGTTTCCATTTTAACGCAAATGGATGTGTGAATGAAGACTTCCAGAACAGACTACTCTGTTTGAAGAGAGAGTGTTAGTAGATATTGCTTTATTGCTTCCATTGAAATTAAGGATAGTCCTGCTTAGGGCCAAAGTATTATTTGACATTATTTGACAATGGCACAACACCTTTAGTTTTAACATCTGGCCTGCAGAGCATGCTTAAAGCATTTTAGATTATAAAGAATCAAAGGTAACCACTGCATAATGACTTTATAGAATAGCTGAGCCAGGCCACAGTACCTAAAAGTCCTGACTGAACAGAACAGAATTTCAAGATAACAGCTTTATACGAGTAGAACTTCCAAAACTTCTTCTTTTCCATTACATTTGGTTTTTTTTTTAAATCTTTTTCACGTAGACTCTATCACTGAAAAAACCCCATGTACTGTTTTCAAGTAAATGAAAAATGGGCCAACGGGCCTTGGGATTCAGATATGTTCTGTTCTGAGAGATTTCTATAAAGAAAACAGTTTTGAGAAGCCAAAATAGACAGCTGTCCTAAGTACCATGCAAAAAGGACAAAAAAAAAAAAAAAAAAGGGTGGGACCCTGGAGGTTAAACCTTTACAAAGGCATGAAAATCTGCATCAAGCTCAAAGCTTTTCTGCATCGTATTTCCAATTGATTCGAAGAGACCTGGAGAGTTGGAAAGTTGCTAAGATGTAAGTATCATACAACTTTGTAAAGATAAAAAATTAGTTTAAATGATCTCAGTAAATTTCAGACCTCATCCTGAAAGAATTTAGCCCTTCTCCAATTCAACCCTTTCATTAACATTACATAACTGTAAGCAACAAAAGATACATTTACAGCATTTTTAAAATATAGAGCTCTGTACAGACTTTTAAGTTGTACAAACGTTAAGCTTAGGCAAATTCTGTGAAGCTGGTAAATTATATTATTTGGGCTAGCAGAAATTAAAACAGAGACATAAAATAGGCTTTAGAACACAAGCTATCCTAGCTCTCAGTCCTGTGTCACTCTTCAGCAAAACAGCACCTCTCGTCTTCCATTACAACTGGTATTGAAACACTGTTGTTTTTTACAGAACAATACTTACTTGATTTACAGAGAAGGCGGCACTGTTGCTGAGAGTGATTAAAGCTTGCTCTTGAATTAATGGATCATCTGTGGCCTGGAGCAAATGAATAAGTTTCTGTAGAGCATCCTCATCCACTGCATGGGTTGATGCTGGTGGACTGTTGTCTGTCACTGCTTAAAAATGAAATACTTGATACCAAGTTTGAGACATTTCACTTAATTACCAGTTAACGTTTTTTACAAAGCTGAGGTTTAGCTCTCAGTTGTAGGATGTGTTGTTTTAAGTTTGATTGTACCCAATCGTCATATCATGGCAAAAAGACTGTTTTACAACAGCGAGATTTCCAGCCTTTCCCTCACCTGGAGTCCTCTGCCTGCCTCTTTTCAAAGTAGAAAATAAAAGGAATACATAGTAACAGCTTGAGGTCTATTAACCTCCGGTTAACCAACAGCAAACCTCCCCTTCAAAATTATTAGGAATATTCACCAAACATGTTAACTTTTTTCCTTGTGTTCCCTGAAATGAAATGTGGAAATCTGTCTGGACACTGTAGGAAAACAAAACTTCTGACTTGCAGACTGCTACTTCCAGAAATTATGATAATGACGTTTTGCTAGAACCCCGAGGTCCTTTGACAAAGTAACAGCCCCAATGTTAAGAACACTGCCGATGACGCGTCACTCAACCGAGGAAGGCTGTTTCTGAGTCAGGATGATGTTATGGAGTACCTGGCTTTCATAAAAGGGTGACACAAATGCCATCAAAGACCATTTTCAGCCAGGTTGGAGGCAGAACTGTTTAGCTAGCTGAATACCCTGAAGACCCGATCTATGACTACTGCACTAGTCAGCAATGACTCGAGATGACTTCTGAGAAGCTAACCAGTCCTTTATAATTCCACATATTTGCTTCCACTATCTCACCAGGCAAACACACCATGGTATTCTTCGGCGAGGTCAAAGTTAATTATGATGATCCAAGACCTAGCTTGAAAAACAAAATCCTTTTTTATCCTCGTCTAAAGACTTTGTTTAGCTTTGAATTACAGGGGGGACACAAATAACTTTAATAACAGAACAGCAAATCAGCCCAGTAAGTAAATACACTGATTGGACGTACGCTTTAAGGGGTGCAAAAAAAAAAAAAAGAAAAAAACTTAGGCCTTTGTAAAAATCAAACGTGCTCTAGCGTCCTCGGAACGCGTCGCATGGCTGCCAGAGGGCCGAGAGGCAGGACCGCGGTACCCCCTCTCACGGGGAGCAGGTCCACCTCCGAGGCCGCAGGCGGGCAGCAGCCCGGAGCCGCGCTCCAGGGGCGCGGGCAGCCGCCCCCGGGCTCCGCCACAGCTGCGCGGACCTGCTCCGCGCCCACCGGCACAGCGGAGGCCCGGCC